TGTTGTTTATGCAGAGCTCCAGCATAATGCAGTCAGAATATTTGCAGTGGTCATAATAAAAGGACCAACTTACAAGATTTCTCAAGTTGAATACCTATCATAATATATGTGAAAGTTCAGCAAAATGACACATCCTGCAGTTTAGCTTTCTGAAGATAGATTCTTTTATTTTCCAATAACTATGACTTCCAGATGTGTAAAATTGTTGATACTTTTAAAATTGAGGTTAGTTCCTTCTTATTGATGTTCAACTTATAGCCTAAAAAACTGTAGAAATGACTAAGTGACACTAGAGCAGATGAAGGTGATTCGGTTGGGTTGGAGTCATAAAACAGGAGATCATCTGCATAAAGAGAGACCCTGAGCCGCACACCTTCTCTCAAAACTATAGATATATCTTTGCCACTATGAAGCAAAGCTTTTTCCACAGTACACAGACATTTGAGGTATACTTTCAGCAGCAGCGCAGAGCATAAAAAAATGTAATGTTGATGTTCACAATGAGAGACATGGACTTCACATGAATGTTGACTCCAGAACATTATACAAAATTGTGCTCAAGTCACTTCTCTATCACATGCCCTTCTTGGCATAAAACTTTCTTAGGAATTAAAGTTTCTCACTAGTCCAGCATAGTCACACAATGTATGATTTTAAGTCTATGTGTTCAGATGACCATAAAACTCATGGAGTTTGATTTACAAGGTTAAAACATGAGTGGAATCTGTAAACATACACTCGCAGGAGGTGACCAGATTATTTTGAGTTTTAGAAGATGCAAAAGTCTTGAAATCAAAGTTAATTATTAATATATGTTTCTTCCTCTGCTTCAAGGTCAGATCAGGTTAGCTGGTGCTGAATTTTCTCAATGTTCTGGAAGAGTTGAAGTCTACCACAACAGTACCTGGGGAACGGTCTGTGATGATGATTGGGATTTAAAGGATGCCAATGTGGTTTGTAGAGAGTTGGGCTGTGGAACGGCACTACATGCTAAAAGTGGAGCCTTCTTTGGTCAAGGAACAGGACAGATCTGGCTTGATGACGTGTCGTGTTCTGGCTATGAAGCTTCACTTACACAGTGTCAGCACAGAGGGATTTGGGACACACAATTGTGTACATTGTGACGATGCTGGGTCGTCTGTTCAGGTAAAACTAACTTTTATTTCAGGCAAAAATGCTGTTTTGCTCAAATGATGTAATTTTTATTTGTATCCAAAACTTCAGTAAACATAAGGAATTAAAATAATTTGTTTTAAAAAGTAGAAGATATTCAATATGTTCTAACTTTTATTTCAGTAACTCAATTTCCAGAGTGTCATATGTAGAAGAATTACCCACAGGCTGATATTTTCTGTAAACTTTGAATATTTGTTACTATTTTTTAAGTTGAGGACGAGAATATTGCATAAGATCAATTACAAAAAAACCTTAATAAAAAATGTGGGCCTAATGATAAGTTTATTACCTGCTTAAAGATTGAGGCTAAGGTCTTCGGTGGCTTGTTCAAGTGAAGAAATGCATTAATCGTGGCCATCTAAAGAAATTCCAAAGGACAACTTGCGGCTTGAGTTGGACAAAGTCCATGCAACTTGCCAGTCTTCTTCAAATAACTCTTGCAATAAATCTTCCTTCGAAGGGTCAAGTCCATCTTGAGATCTTGAATTCTCCTGTGGTTGTGCGGTCCAGCACAGTTGCACTGACCCATGTGCGCATTTATGAGATTTGGTCTAACAATGCAACCCCTCCACTTCCTCATGAGTGTCTCCAAGACCGTGGGAAGTTTAAACTTTAGTTTACAAGATGGCAAAAATTCATGAACAACTACATATTCTACTTACAAGAACAATACATCACATACATTTTTGGCTTGCACAAATAAACATGGAAACGGATTAAATTTCCAGCCATTTAACTTACAAAACTTAATTTGAAAACCACACAGTCCGATATAGAGATAAGAACTGACTGGGATTTGTGAAACTACATTTGCTGCAAGTAAGTGGATTTTCTTGTTTCTTAGAAGATGGAATATTGGAATACAGTCCAAATAATACAGTGTTTCTTCTTGAAGGTCAGATCAGGTTAGCTGGTGATGGATTTTCTCGATGTTCTGGAAGAGTTGAAGTCTACCACAACAGTGTCTGGGGAACGGTCTGTGATGATGATTGGGACTTAACGGATGCCAATGTGGTCTGTAGAGAGTTGGGCTGTGGAACAGCATTGGAGGCTAAAAGTGGAGCCTTCTTTGGTCAAGGAACAGGACAGATCTGGCTTGATGACGTGTCGTGTTCTGGCAATGAAACTTCACTTACAAAGTGTCAGCACAGAGGATTTGGGACACATGACTGCGGACACAATGAGGATGCTGGTGTCATCTGTTCAGGTAAATTTTACTTCTACTTTTGAGGAAATGCTACATACTTTTGAAATAATTTCATTTCTACTTACATAAAAACAACCTAACAGAAGAAAACAAATGTTTTTTTTTTTGTTTTTTTTTAAATGAAAGTCAGTAATTACTTGATTGTGCTATGAAACACAACTCACTGTGTTTCATAGTTACTCTATGGGAATAATAGTACATTTATTTCTATGATATCAAGTAGGATTTCAAAAAGGACTTAAGTACAATTTCTTCATTTTGTCAAACAGAACATTAGAAACAACTTGGATGCATTTTTGTTTTGTTGGAGGAAACATTTATATAAAGTTTCCAGGGGAAACAGAAGCTCAATTTGATAATTTAAACACTCATTTCAAACCAGTTATTTTAAATAGTATTGAATTCCCATGTTCTGCTACTCATAAACATATGGTTGTATAATTGAGCAACTAAATGCAGGTGTTTTTACCTGCAAGTGTAAATGTTGAGTTGGGGGCCAGCAGAAGCCTATTTGGATTTGAAGTTACAAGAGGCCCTAAAACATCTCATCCTGAAAAGAGCAGAACTGACCAAACTAAAATCTCGTCATCCAAGAAGGATTTTGTGCAAAGAAATGTGATGAGCATGTTATATATCTATTGATGTGTCCTAACCTGTTTGAGGTAATAGGTCACCTTTAAGGAAATGCATTTATCTCTATGACTCCAAGAAAGTTAAAAATAAAACAGTCTTGTTCAATCTGGCATCAAATAGCTAAAAATATTTTGGTAATACAAAGTGACCAACGTACAATGTCAAATTTGCCGACTTTTATAATTTTCTTCTAACCTCATTGTGTTTTTAGAGCTTGAAAATGCAGATGGGTTCAGAGCATCCAGTCAAGAAGAGACCAGCATCACTCTGCAGTGGAATAAAGTAAACAACATTATCAGCTTTTTCCTCCAGTTTAATGGCAGAGCAACATCCATCAGTGCACCATATGGAAATGGACCAGTAAACTACAGAGTGTCATCTCTCAGTCCTGGAACCAAATACACATTCACTCTCTTCTCTGTGTTTAACAATATCTGGAGCAGTGGAGTCAGCGTTACAGAAGCTACTGGTAAGATGTTTAACAAAATCCTTATGTAGTATTAATGCATATCTGTATTGCTTTGTATTTGGCACCGGTAATATAAGTGTAACAATTTTTTAAACGTTGCTTGAGGCTTCATATTTGTCCGAAATAATGTCAGAAATTACCGAACATGCTCATTATATTTCTTTGCACAAAATTACAGAATTTCTGACATTAGGTAATTTCTGACATTACACTGGTTTTAGTGGCCAGTTCAGACAAAAAGAGAAAAAAAAACATATTTAGGATAAAATACAAAATGTGGAATGAGACACAGTTTGTCTTATTCAATAGACAAAATGTGCGTGTACCAGAATGAACAAGTCATGAACCTTATTTCATTATTTTAATGTCATAACATAATGACATTATTATATTGTGGGATGACTCAAACAAGTTTTAAATATTCAAGGCATTTCAACAAAATATTAAATATGCCTTTATTTTCATAACAGAAAAAAATCTGATATTAAGTTTTTTTAAAACTGCATAAGATCAATTACAAAAAAAATTTATCAATACAAAAATATGGGCCCGATGATAACTATGTTTATTATCTGCTTAAATATTGAGGATTAGGTCTTCTGTGGCCAGCTGAGAGACCAGAAAAAAAATTAGTATGAAAAATAAAAAATGAAAACAGTCTCCTCAACGGAGAAATGTAGGTGTATAAATGTCTTATGACTGTAAAAAATAAAAATAAAAGATTCCTGTATTTTCTTTCTGTGTCAGACTTAACACCATGAATGAACTACTTCTAATCATGTTGTGTTTTTAGCTCCTGCAAATGCAGATGGCTTCAGAGCATCCAGTCAAGAAGAGACCAGCATCACTCTGCAGTGGAATAAAGTAAACAACATTATCAGCTTTGTTCTCCAGTTTAATGGCAGAGCAACATCCATCAGTGCACCAGATGGAAATGGACCAGTAAACTACACAGTGTCATCTCTCACTCCTGGAACCAGATACACATTCACTCTCTTCTCTGTGTTTGACAATATCAGGAGCAGTGGAGTCAGCATTACAGCAGCTACTGGTAAGATGTTTAATGTAATCCCTACGAAGTATTAATGCATATCTGTACAGTCTTGTATTCGACAGGTTACACATGTAACAATTGAAATTTTGTCACATGATGTTTGCACTGTCCCAGTCTTTGATCATGCAGTAAATCACAGGTTAATCAATGAATTTAATTTGCTGTCAATCAAATAGCTTGACCGCCAATATATTACATAATAAATGTTGCTCAAAATACATGATTTGAAATGGTTTGTACTACTCATATAGCTGTTCCTGTTATAAGGAGATGATGGTGGTTCTGGTAAAGTAGAGAAGAATTGTTAAAACTTTAGAGACATGATTAAACTACCTCTCTTCATGTTGTGTTTTTAGCTCCTGAAGATGCAGATGGCTTCAGAGCATCCAGTCAAGATCAGACCAACATCACTCTGCAGTGGAATAACATAAACAATAAAATCAGCTTTGTTCTCCAGTTTAATGGCAGCAACATCCATCAGTGCACCATATAGAAATGGACCAGTTAACTACACAGTGTCATCTCTCAGTCCTGGAACCAAATACTCATTCACTCTCTTCTCTGTGTTTGAGAACATAAGAAGTAGAGGAGTACAGCTTTCAGCTGCCACTGGTAAGATGTTTAATGTAATCCCTACAAAGTATTAATGCATATCTGTACAGTTTTTGTATTCAGCATCGGTGAGATACTTGTAACAAGTGCATATTAATTGTTATTAGGTTTTTTTTATATTTGTCTTTAAATAATGTCAGAAATGATCCTATCATTATACATTATTCCATAGACACAATGTGTGCGTGCCAGTAGGAACAGGCCATGAAACTTATTTCTAGCCCCTAGAGAGGAGCATTAAGTGTTTATGACATTATTATATTGTGGGTTGACTCAAGCAAGTTCTACTATTCAAGGCATTTCAACAAAAATATTAAATAAGCTTCTATTTTCACAACAGAAAAAAAAAGTTTTGGTATTAAATTTTTAAAAATGAAAAAAAAAACAAATAATATAAAAATGCTGGCCTGTTAATAAGTATGTTTATTATCTGCATAGAGTTTGAGGCTAAGGTCTTTAGTGGCCAGAGAAGAAAGAAAAAAAACATTTTTAAGATTAAATACAAAATGGAAACAGTCTTTAATCTACCACAAAAGGGGAATACAAAATGTATTTACTGTAAAAAATAGCCTGTATTTTTGTTCCTTTTATACAATGTTAGACTTAGAAACATGAACACACTACTTCTAATCATGTTGTGTTTTTAGCTCCTAAAAGTGCAGGTGGCTTCAGAGCATCCAGTCAAGATGAGACCAGCATCACTCTGCAGTGGAATAAAGAAAACAACAATATCAGCTTTGTTCTCCAGTTTAATGACACAGAGACATCCATCAGTGCACCATATGGAAATGGACCAGTAAAGCACACAGTGTCATCTCTCGGTCCTGGAACCAGATACACATTCACTCTCTTCTCTGTGTTTAACAATATCAGAAGCAGTGGAGTCAGAGTTACAGCAGCTACCAGTAAGATGTTCTTCATTATTATACCACAAGGAAGGAATTTCCTAAAACCACTACAGATATTCTATAAAAATATACATAATATAGAAACGTGAGCTATGCATTTGCTGTGCAATCTAACAATGAAAAATTGTTAGAGTGAAATGTGAAGAACAAAATGCTGCAATAACTTGTTTACACATTACATTTTGATTGAATTTCAAAATCTTTTGCAAAACTGTCAAATTGTTTTTCTTTTAGACATGATCATCTAAGATATTTTTGGGGAATTTTATATTTTTTTTTATTTTTTGGTGTACTAAGTTTTCTGTTTAAAAGTCATGTTAAAATCTATGTCTAGACTTTCTGGATGGTCTTGGTATCTGTTAACTGCTTACAGTTCTAGTTTGTTGGTTTTCTTCTTGAAACCCCCTCAAAAATTTAGATTTTAATCTAAGCTAGTTGAATCTAAATCTTTTTCTACAAGATAAAAAATTTTATGCCCTAATTAATTTTAAAATTTATTTCAGAGATTTTCTCTTAAAGTCCTGAGATATGCATTTCATTCCTTTTGCTTTTTCCGGTTTTGACTAATTACTAGAGATCTAACAGATTTATTGGCACTTATTTGTAAAATTTCTTAATTTAATTAACTGAAATCTAAATGTTATTCACTTTAAAATTTGCTTTGTTTCTGACATATTTTCTCCCATTCTTGTTTTTGACAGGTTCTATGCCTACATTTGGTCAATCATCCAGGGTCTGCAAATGCACACTGATGTCTGCTTCATGTGAACAAACATCAAGATCTTCTCTTCTCAAACAGAAAGACTTAACAAGAGTGGTATCTTTCACATCTGTAGAAGACCCTTTGACAAAGGACTTGCTGAACTCATCTGTGACCTTCAATAATATGTCTTCCCTGATAAAGAGACAAGTAAATGCTGTCCGCTCAAAATGCATCTTGTCTTTTGGACTGTTCACAGTTGAACCCGTCTCTGCTGGTGTTTCACTCCGACTTCTTTTCTGCTTCTGTAGCTCGAACCATTCTTCCAGAAAAGGTTTTCCTCTGCCTTCCTCTCCATGGAGGTTTCTACAATCAGGTAATTTTACTTCCACATTGCAGTTCGATTTAAATTTTAACTTACTGAACATCTTGTTTCTATTTTGACTGCGTTCCCAGAAAAGCTCGGTTATCCACACCGTGAACCTCAAGTTTAGAGGCACGTCTGTTCCTGACAACAATGAGATACGGGATGTTTTGATCGAGGCGGCTTCGTCTATCGTCGACTTCAGCATCGAAACGAAATCGATCAGCATTCTTAGCTAAAGTAAAAATATATGGTTGTAGAGTAATATCACTGTATGACAGTTTATGGTAGAACTGTCCCATGGAGGAAAAGATGCAAAAAAGTGCAAAGAGATGAAGAATGTGGTACAGTTGCCAGACATCTACATGAGCGTTCTAATTATTTTGGGTCAACTATTTATTTGTTTTTATTATGTTTAATTTCTTAAAGGTTAAACTTCATTTAAATTCAACAACTGTAAATATTCTGTCTTCCTCACAAGTTAAAAAATATTCATTTCAGGCAATCAAATAGCTAGCATGTCATTTATTCATATATATATATATATATATATATATAAGATTTATGGTATGGCAAAAAAAAAAAAGTAGAATATGATGTTGAAGTCATCGTCAGTAACAAAGATAAGTCTAAATAAACCAAGTTATTTATTTGTAACTAATATTGTTGTATTTTTTTTTCTCTCTATTTACAGCTTGAGGTGTGGAAAGCCTGAAGATCAGTCTTGAGTCACTATGGTTTAAACCAAATACATAATTACATGTTATTACATTACTCCTTGTACTAAAGCTTCATGTCTATAAAAATAATTATTGAGCTGCAATAATTATTTTGCATTTAGATTATACTGCTAGTAATTATTTGTATTTGCTGCTGAAGGAAGGTGTGCTTTAAAACATTTAAAATCATTGTCAAACATTAACTGTTTATGTAATTTTATGGCCTATTCTGAGTAGAAATGAAAAAAGAGAAAAATAAATCAATTGTGAATAAAAATGTAGCTTCTTTCTTGAGATGCTTCTAAGCCTTGAGCTTATGATATAAAGTTGTATTCAACGAGTGCTTAAAATGGTTTTATTATGTTTCATTTTAATTTTAAGTCTGAAATTAGAAAATAAAAGTGATTACAAAATTAAAGCGTGTTCTCTCATTTTGGTTTTCGTAGCTAAAATGAATCTTAGTGGACACTGGACGTACAGGTGATCAACCGACTGTACGAGTTTCACCTTTCTCAAAAAGTGGACTTACATTCCTAAGTCTGGGAAAGGCTTTCAGTCTATTTAAGTGAAGAGTCTCTTTGTTAGTCATTGTTCCTCTATCACCATTAAATCCTATTTACCAGACATTACCTTGGTAGCACAAAAGAAAATACCAGGACTTCCTTTCTATAAAGACCAAAAGGGACTTTCTGTGGGCCAGATATTGAGATGGGAATGACTAAGCACTCGCAACAACTATGGTAGAGTGAAAAATCAATCTGAGAACAAAAGCTGGTGTGTTTCAGACAAAAGAATAAAAACAAGAGAGCAGATGCAATCAAGTCGGATCTCACTGTGAAAGATTTCTGGGAATGCTACCAGCGAGGCCAAGCAATTTCAATATCACAGTTAATATGAGAGGTTCAAGTTTTGGTGTTTATTTTCATCCAGAGAACTTTTTTCCTTGCTCATTGAACTCTTAAATCACTCAACTCTTATTGTTGAGAAATGCTTCTTGTCATATAACAGCATCTGGATAAACAAAGTTCCCAAATTACTGATCCGGCTATAAAAATAATGATGACAATAATAATAATAACCCTAAAATTACAGCAGCTCAGTTCATTGAAAATTAAAACAATTAAAAATGACAGTAATAACTGGATTCTGTGGGGACGTGGGGATTTCGATCTGGTCAAAACGGTGCGGACTTTATTTTGATATTGCCGCTGCCGATACCATAAAAGGTTAACCGGAAGAGGAAAACGCAGGGATTACAGCGCGTTCCCAGCATCCTAGCTGCACCGAGCATCCTAAAAATAAACTCCTCGTGAAATCTGCCTCGATCATTCTTTTTTTGGAGATAAAACACATTTTATTACGGAGGACTGATTCGTTTTTTTCCGTTAAGGAGGGGCTGCTGTTGTTGTTGCTGTGGACTGGAGCTGCAGCAGGCCGCCCACCATCTGTGGAAGTGGGACAGCGGGACAGATGGCGTCTCCAAGCCGAGCCGCGGGGCTTTGTCCAGCACAACAGACAAGGTGCCGTCATTAAAATAGCCGGCGTTTGCAGCTTGTTTTATTTTTTGCGCGACTTTCTCCTCCACCGTGATCAGCCATGTTGGAGTGACTGGGTGCAACTGGAGGACCGGAACGCGTCCGTGCACCGCACGAGCTGAGACCGGCTCCCCTCCCTCCCCCTCCCCACCCCGCCGACTTAATCCCCTTTAAGTCCGTCTCTGGGTGAACAATGGTCGACAACCGCTACGCCACCGCTCTGGTCATCGCCTGCGTGCTGAGCATCCTGGCCACCGTGTATCTGTCGGTGGCCGTCGGCACGCAGCACTGGTACCAGTACAGCAGCCCCACCGTGCGCGGCGAGGCCAACGTGTCCGAGCTGCGCTCCCTCTACGACGAGTTCATGACCGGGGAGTTCGACGAGAAGACCTACAGCGACACGCTGTTCCGCCTCAACGGGACCGTGGGGCTGTGGTGGCGCTGCGTGCTCGTTCCACCCTCTGCCCACTGGGGCAGGGAGCCAGGTATGTGGCTGTGACCCACCACCGACTGGCCCCAGGGCCCGGAGCCACACCTGCAGTCATACCAGCTGCACACCTTTCAGTGCAGCTGTCGCCGCAGATGTGACTCACAGGTTGGACCTGGAGTCATCTATTCTAATTAACTGAATTGCATGTGCCAAAACATGAGTCACTGCAGCTTGACGTAGGTTAGATTGGGTCAGGCCACATTCATTTCGTTTCGGTTCAGTTGTTGATTTTTTTTTCCCCCCAAGCACTTTTAACGAGGTGCCATTTTTATTTGTTTTGTTTTCATTATACAAACTGTTCTGGCCACCGTGTATCTGTCAGGCGCTGGTACCAGTACAGCAGCCCGTGTGCTCACTTTCACCCAAAGACTCATAACATGACAAAACAATATGAGCTCTACTGGAAAAGCAATAAGCATCAAATAGCTCCAAAATACCAGACCAGCCTCAAAAGTCACAATATGCACATGTGTAAGAGTTTTGGAAGAAAAATATTCAACACAAATTACAGTTACAAACCAAAATTTGCCATTAATAAAACCTGCTTTTCTGCAAAGCGAAAACAGGTTTCGCTTTGCAAAGCTGCCTTTGCACGGAGAGCAGTTCTGCTCTCAAGAATTGGCTCTCAAAAGCAACAGTCTCACCAGGTTCCCCGGTGTCTCATATCAGTAATCAGTGTTGCACAGAAGACGAGAAAGCCCAACCTACCCACAGGAGCCTTAACACCACAATAAAGTGAAAAGGTCTGGCCGACCATGATGTTATTGGATAACTTTTTATTTACTGAAGCGGTGCATACCATTGGTTCATGAGCTATGAACAAATAACTCAACCAATTTTGATTAGCATCTGAAGTGGAATCTCTTGTGTTTTCTCATCATAAATGCAATTCCACTAAATAAATTGATGCAATACACATTGTTGATTTTTACCACTTCACCCAGTTTTTGTTACT